TGATTCTTCCGCCCCCATGCGACGGGGGGCCGCCCCGTGCAACACTTATTTTTTTTTTTGTTTGGGGGGGGGGGGGGGGGTTCTTGGCCGTTAATTTCGATTTTCGTCGGTATTGGTTGTCGTACGCACGATGTCGGGTATCGGAGAGAGAGTTCAAGTCTGACGACAAAAAATAAAAAAACGAAGAAGAGAACCTTGACGAAAACTAGGAACTGCTTATATTTTCACGAAAAGCCATGTATTTTTGAACAAAATGAAAAATACACACGAAAAATATCGTACATAAAAAAGAAAAGCTGCATGTTGCAACAGACGACAGCAGAGTACATTCCGCGAGGCCCTCGCAGACACACGCACCTGGCGCGCGACGGTGGCGGCTGAGAAGGTCTTGAAGGTCACGAAGGCTCGAGGTGTCATCTCCGGGAAGTTTATTTTCTGCACCATATGGTTCCGTCGACAAAAAAAAAAAAAAAATGAGATGGAATCGATTATGTTATATTTAGAAAAAAAAATGGACAGCAGGACACAAGGCCATCAGCAGCAGAACCCGTGGGTACGGACCTGTTGGACATGCTACTATGATAGTACAAGTTAGAGACTACAATATCCGCAACTCTCCAGTCGCCGTTAGCGTCGCCAGCGCGAGGCAGAAAACTCGTCTCGCTCCGCAAAACACCGAAAACAAAAAGGGCGACGCCCAGCTGCCAGTCAGATACAGAGCAATATTCCGACAACCTCTCCACAGCCAACGAACTCGTGAGTTCTCACCCGGACCCTGACGGACGACTGCGACCTCCCGAGCAGCGGTCTAGACTCGGCGCCTCCGCTATGGGCACTGCTGCCATCGAACGCCGAGGAGAGCAGCGCGCTTAGGCCCGTACCCCCTCCGTCCCCCCGATCGTCGCCGTACGCAAGGGTGGTGGTTCCTTCGGCATCGCTATCGTCGCCGGTGCCTCCGTACAGAGACTGCTGCTGCTCGAACAGCGTCTTGGGCCCGGTCCTCCGCCTGACAATGGTTGTTGTTGTTGGTGGTGGTGGTGTTGGTAGCGGCGCAGTGACCCACGCAAACGCACTGCCCCCCATTCTTCCCCTCTTCCCCCCCCCAAAAGAGTCACAACAAGAGAACATCTACTCCATACCTTGGGTATGCAACCAACCCCCCGTGTTCGCTCCCCCCCCTGGGGACGCCTTCCCTCCCAAGTCTCCCGCCGCCGCCGCCGCCGCCGCCGCGGCCTCGAGCACCGCCCCCGCCGCCATGGCCAGAGCCGACGGACCCCGGTCTTCCGATCATCCCCTCCTCCTCCTCCTCTTCGCCCTCCTCGAGGTCTTCGGACGAGCCTCGCGCACCGGAAGATCTCCGGAGAAGCTGCTCGACCAGCCCGGTCTCCTCATCGTCCAGAATTTGTCCTCCACCTTGCTGTTGTTTGTTTAGATGCGGGCACAATTAGGGGCGTGTGTGTGCTATTTCGCATGTATCTACTGTTGTTTGCGGTAGGGGGGGGGGGGTGCGGTAGGGGATGGGCAATTGCAATTGCAAGGAGAGCAATCAGCGAGAATGCGCAATTGGGTGGGCTGGGTTACAACACAAACGAACTCAACAGGAACACAATATTCAACGTCCACCGAGTGGAAATGACGGCTTACGCGGCAGCATTGCAAAAAGAACACAACACATGCTCAGAGCCGTATCGAGGGGCCCCGCAGAAAATAAATCGTATTAGGGTTCTAGCCCGGTTTTCAGACTAACACCCGTTGATTGGACGGCCGCTAATAGCGTGGTGGTTGACGGCAAAAGAACCTCGCACGCACGCACGCAGTTGAGAGCATGACCTACCGCCATGATCGCCTGGATCGCCTGCTGCAGCGTGCCCTGAGCAGCCATCCGCAGCGCGCGCTGGTCAATCTTCCGAAGATGGTGCAGACGCTTCGCCTGTTCGCGGCTGACCTATCAAAACAAAGAAGGCCGCCATCAAAACGCCCAAGCGCCGAGTACAGCAGTACAGGGGGGGGGAGGGGGGGGGGAGGTAATTATCGGTGCTCATGCCTATTTCTCAAAACGAATATCTAGAATCGGAGCCCATTGCTGCTGCTGCTGGTGAAAAGGAGGATGAAAAGGACCACAGGAGTGGACGTTGCCAATCCTCTCTCCGAACACGGAGCGTACACCGCTGCAGTGTCACAAAATACCACCCATCTCTTCCCAGCAGGTTGTTGCCAGAGTCCATGGCATCGTTCAACTTGTGTTTAGACTACCTACACATGACCACCGGTCAGCAGGTTAGGCGAGAGGATAAGGATGCCACAAACAGCGCTCAAAGACCCCAGAAAATCATAAGCTATTGCTGCTATGGGCGCATCGTGTTCGACATGACCACCGAGCGCATAGAAAAGCCACACCATGGCGAGACGAAGCAAAACAACTCGTACGGCAGTGTCTTACACGACCCCCCGGTGTCGGGAGGCCCCGCGGACCGAAAGCGGGGTACCCTAGGTACTGTCTGTACCCCGGCACCATCTTCTCGTCACGTTAAAACAAAAAACGACGTTGTTTCATGGGCCCATCAGCCGGTTCCCGTGGCCGACGTAAACAGAACCAAACAAACAACACACACACACACATACGCACACGCTTATCCCGCTACAAGACTGACGTATCCTCAATTTCATTGGTCAGCCGGTTAGCGCCGTCGATGCTAAATTAAGCAAACACACACACACCCGCACCATCACGTCCCAAAAAATACAACCTCCCCCCACCGCAGAAGACAGCGTATATGCCCCCCCGCCCCCCGCCCCCCCCCCCCGATCCTCCTCGCATCGTGTGCCAGATCCGCGTGCCCGTCTGCCGTACCTCGGTGTTGTAGTAGCTCAGCTCCTCGGTAAGGTAGGTCACGGCGTCCACCCTCTGCCCCAGACAGCAGCAGGCGCCCGTCCACA